TTGGGCTGGGCGTATCCCCCTCAGTGGAAGGAGGCTTCAGTAAAGGCCTTGCTGACCTTTCCGTGTGGGGAATGCTCTTTTTCCCCTTTTGTTTCGTTTTCTCTCCCTGAGAAGAGAGACACGGGCAGTTGTTTCACAGACTTTGGGTTGCAACACTTCCTTCCCAGCTCACCGCCCTGCCTTTGGTGCTTCCCACCCGTAGGGCCTGTGTGAGGGTGCAAGCTTAGCCCCGTCCCCACGCACGCAGCCCCACGCAGCATACCTGAGCGTTTTGTGCAGCGTGAAGTTGGGGAATGTGCTTATTGATTTGAGTGGGAGAGTGCGTTACTCTGGCGTTTTGGTGTTTTCTTACCCATGGTTGTGAGCTGCAGGTCAAAAATGCCAATATTGTCAGACTACACTAATGCTATAATGACTGTAAATCAGAAATAGTGTGGCAGTTATCCTTATAATAATTATATAATCTGCTTAGCGAATCACATAATTACTTTATAAAGGAGCAGTACAGATTTTTCTGAAATGAGCTAATTTGATCTGCTTTTTAAACTGCTTAGTGTAATACCCATGTGGTAGCAAATAGTGCTAGTCTGTTACACTCATTTTGCACTTGGGTTTCTTAACTTGTAGGAAAGAATGCAAGTTTGTTCACAACTTCCATTCGGACCACAATCTCTGTGTTCTAAAACAATATGGACTGGAGAAATTAAACAGGGGTGAACTTTGCCAGCTTCTGCTTCAAAATGACCCTTCCCTCTTACCAGAGGTGAGTAGCACTGTGACAGTTTCTTAGCCTTGTGTTTCAGTGAGCGTCATAAAGTGGAAGAGGCTTGATAATAGATGGAGATGTTAGGTGTCAGTTTAGTTAGCATAATGCAAATCTAAAACTTTAAATCTACATCCTCTGTGGTGGGTTGACCCTAGTTGACAGCTAAGCACTCGCACAGCCCCTCACTTCGCTCTCCCCTGCCCTCAGCCAGACAGATGAGAGAAAACAAGAACAACAAAAGTGACAAAACTTGTGGATGGAGATAATAAAGGCAGTGTAGCAAGTGGAGGAAAGAGGGGAGAAAACAAGTGTTGCAAAGGAAGTTAGTCACCACCTCCCACAAGCAGACAGATGCCCAGCAAGTGTCTGAGTGAGGGCCAGCATGTGAGGACTGCCCCCCCCTTTTTTTAAAATTTTAGAACATGACATTATATGGCATGGAATATACCTTTGGCCAGTTTGGGCTATGTCCTGATTTTGTCTCGGGTAGAGTTAATTTTCTTCCTAGTAGCTGGTACAGTGCTGTGTTTTGGATTTAGGATGAGAATAATGTTGATAACACACTGATGTTTTAGTTGTTGCTGAGCAGTGCTTACTCTAAGTCAAGGACTTTTCAGCTTCTCATACAGCCCTGCCAGCAAGGGGGCTGGGGGTGCACAAGCTGGGAGTGGACACAGCCAGGACAGCTGACCCCAACTGACCAAAGGGATATTCCATACCATATTACATCATGCTGAACAATAAAACTGGGGGGAGTTGGCTGGGGGCTCATGGCCTGCCGCCTAGGAACTGGCTGGGCATCAGTCAGCAGGTGGTAGGCAATTGCATCGTGCATCACTTGTTTCGTGTATTGTTTTCTTATTCTTTTCCCTTCTTTTTCTGTCCTATTAAACTGTCTTTATCTCAACCCATGAGTTTTACCTTTTTTCCTATGCTTTCCTCCATCCTGCTGTGGGGGAGTGAGAGAACAGCTGTGTAGTGTTTAGCTGCCTGCTAGGTTAAACCACAACAGGCTACCTGTCCCAGCTGTGTCCTCTTTCAGCTTCTTGCCCACCCCAGCCTACCCTGGGTGGGGGCAGGCAGAGTGGAGAAAAAGAGAAAACCTTGACACTGTGCAAGCACTGCTCAGCAGTAGCTGAAACATTGATGTGTTATCAACACTGTTTTGGTCACAAAACCAAAACATAGTGAGGTATGGTCTGCTATGAAGAAAGTTAACTCCATCCCAGCCAGATCCAATACCTTTTGCCATCAAATTCAGGTCAAAATAGTTCACTGTTCCAAAACTAGAAAACCAAAGAGTTCAAGTAGTGACGCAATAAAATCCACTATCCTACATTTATGTGACTTAGAACAAAATCCCTTCTGCTTGAGAATGTCTGTAAGATGGTTGTTGTCTGTTGAAAGATCTTTCTAGACATTAACAGGGAAAAGGAAAAACCATCAAGTAATTATTTGGAAAAGAAGAAGAAAGAAGAAACTTGTATGAGTCTTTTAAATGTGAATGTAAACATGTTGCTGTAAAAATTGTGAATTCAAACAGTCTATATGAGCACATTGTACTTTAAATTCTTTTTTTTTTTTGCCTCTACCCAAGGTCTGCTTGCATTATAACAAAGGTGATGGACCTTATGGATCTTGTACCTATAAAAAGAACTGCACCAAACTGCATGTTTGTCAGTACTTTTTGTGGGGACACTGCAGATTTGGCAGGAGCTGCAAGCGATCCCATGACTTATTAAAGTCAGAATGTTATGAGAAACTGGAGAGACAGGGAATGAGCTCAGACATCATTCAGAAACTACCCACCATTTATAGGAATATGTATGACATAAAAAATGGCGACAGGAACGTACATGACAAAGAAGATGCCAAGTCTTCACCATGCAAAGGTAAATTATATCATCTCTTGAAAACATCAGAGGAAGAGTCGCTATAGTGAATGTAACATTCTCACAGATGTCATTAAGAAAAACTGAATTCACATCTTGATCTGTCTTTTAGGAGGGACCTTGCACCTATCTCATTGACAGATATTTGTGTCTTGACAAGTGAAGTGGATTTCAAGGCATTATGGGTTCCTGAGAAATAAAGTGCTTGGTGTTTATAAAAATCTTAAATTTGGGGTTAGAAAAGCATAATAGGAACTGGAAATAGGGAGAGCTGTAATTTTTTTCTTGGTAAAAAAACATAAACAAGGGTAGAGAACTGTTTAAGAACAGCAGTGGCATTTACTTGTGTGATTATAAACTATTTTGTTTTATTCATTTTTTCTTTAATTTAGCAATTGTCTGGCACAGGAATTCACAGACAGCACTATCCTAGTTACTTCTCAGAGATGTAATATTTTGTTTGTTCTTTTCTTTTAAAGTTCCTTAGAATTGTAAGTTAAGTATAATTTAGCAGGAAAGAAAAGGATAACAGAATAGAAAATCCAAGTGTGTGTGTGTGCATCTCTGCTATTCTCCCTGCAGTTCCATCTTCCCTTATTTGCTTCCTTAGGTGTGCTTTAGTTTACAGAAGTATCAAATTTTGAGACTTCAGATTTTATAGCTGCTGAATTGGAACAGCTATGTGGAATGCACGGTTAACTCAAGTTCACCCAGAAATGTAAAGGCATTGGATTCTGTTCTTATTTTGCAGTGATAGCTAAAAAGTGTATCTGAGGAATTTAGCAATTGCAGGAAAGTCAAGTTCAGAAAGGATGGATAAAGGGATAGGATTTTTGAGTATACAAGGTTATCAAAGACTTCAGTGTCTTTCTGGAGCTGAATGCAGTTATGTAGTTATAAACATTGTTTTTAGGCATCTTCCCTACCCATAGGTGCACTTTTAAGAGGGCTTGTTGAAACAAAGTATATTAATAAGACTTATAATTCCCCCTTCTAGAAAGAAAACACAGCTCTAGCCAAGAATCTTCAACTACAAATGATGATGAACTGGAACAGATCTGTTTGTATCATCTGTACAAAAGTTGTGGCTTTAAAGGTAGGTTCTGACTGTAGCAAGTCCAGCCTATTTTCTCATAAAGAAGAAGTAAGAGATATCTTTCACAGAGTGTGGAAACTTCAGAGCTTGTGCTTATCTTTAGTTAAATCTCATTGTAATCTTGAGTGCTGGTAGAAAAGTGTTTGACCTGCCTGGTGTACCAAACAAAGGAGCTGTTTTGTTTTACTCTGAAGTGTATAATATCCACCTGTGTTGGAGATTGGCTACTCCACCTATGTTCACCTAAGGGATTGCTGAATGATAGGAGTTCCATTTCCAAATAGCTACAGAAGATACTCTGAATTCTACGTTCTTCCTCGTTTCTTCTAGCAGTCTTCTGTTCCGTTTGTCTGAGCTGTCTACCTTTCAAAATGTTCCAACTTGTCCAGGAAAAAGACTGCTCTGCCAGCTTTCTTATCCTTTTGTCATCCTTCTCCCTGATGTACTGCACACCTTCTCATATGAACTTTGTGTTGCAGTCTCCTTGACTTTCCCTGTAGTTAAGTTGTCTGTTGTTCTACTATGAAAACTAGCCTCAAGTTTATGCATACATGTATTGGTGATGCAATATTCATTCCTATTGAATGCCTGCATACTGACTCTTCAAATGATTTCTGAGTAATACTTATGATACCTGGGCCACTGCTACCAGTACTCTTGTTCCTTGTGAGGCCTGGACCCTTAAAGACTTCTTGAAGCCTCTAAATGAGCTACCTCCTATCCTAAAACTAAGCACTGTTGTGTTAGGGTTTTTTTCCTCAGTAATACCACTTTGGAACTAAGTGGTTAAGCATAGACTAAGTCTACACTGTTATTCTATATATGAAATAAAAGCCTTGTATGAGCTTGTGATCTTGAGCCACTGTAAATTTTTGTCTCTGAAACTGAGAAGACAGAATAGTCCTTCACCACTGAGATCCTGCTAGCAATTTTGGTGCACAAAGAGAATGTAGTAGGTAAAGAAACTGAACTTCTGTATAAGGTCAAAAATTAAGTTTTGCTTGCTCATGCTGAAAAGTTCTGAACCACTGCTTATAATGATTCCATATGTGAAGACTTTCCATAGCTATGCATTTGATACTTTCACCAGCTAGGTATACAGCCCTGAAATGTTGGGAGCTTTTCTCATAGTCTCTAAAAATAATGCATCTCTTCTTTTTTTTTTGTACAGCCCTGAAATCTTGGGAGTTTTTCTCATAGTCTATAAAAATAATGCATCTCTTCTTTTTTTTTTTTTCTTTAAAACTTTTATAGACAAGTGTATTAGAACTCATTTTCACTTGCCATATAGATGGCAGATCTCTGATGGTAATACCTGGAAGGACTTCAAGAATATGGAAGAAATAGAAAAAGCATATTGTGACCCCCAAAACACCAGGTATAAACTCTTATAAAATTTAATAATGTTTGGAGTTTGCTATATTGGACCAGATCCTTAGTGGCTATGAATTGCTATGATTATATTGCAGTCATTACACAAGTAGCTTTATTCGGTATTCTTCTGTTGACCTCACTTTGTTGGAGATCTGATCCATTGGGACTTACTTTTGCCTGGAGCCTGTATAGGACCCTCTGGGTTACCATACTGGGTTTGGCTGGGATGGAGTTAACTTTCTTCATAGCAGCCTGTGTGGTACTGTGTTCTGGATTTGTGACTAAAACAGTGCTAATAATGCACCAGCAGTTTAGGTGTTGCTGAGCAGTGCTTGCTCAGAGTCAACGCTTTCTCTTTTCCCACTCTGCCGTGCTCCTTTGCATTGGGTAGACTGGGGGTAGACAAGGGATTGGGAGAGGATCAGCCAGGACAGCTGACCTGAACTGAGCAAAGGGATCTTCCATACCATGTAACATCATGTTCAGCAGTAAAACCTAGGACAGAGGAAGAAGAGGGTTGGGTTTTTGATTACCAAGGCAGCTGCTGTTTGGAGGCTGGTTGGGCATTATACTACCTGGGGAGGTGGTGAATAATTTGCTTTGCTTTATTTATTTGTTTATTTATACGCACACCCTTCCTCACCTATTGAACTGCCTTTATATTGACCAACGACTTTTCTTGCTTTTGCCCTTGCTATTTTCTATCCTCTGTTGGGGAGGGGAGGGGGAGTGAGCGGGAAGCTGTGTGGGTACTTGGTTGCTGACCAGGATCAATCCACCACAGTTATTTTATGTGACTGACTCGTAGACTCTAGTATTCTTTGCTGTGAAAAAATGTATAAATACTTCCTACTGCTGCTACCATTGGAAGTCTTAATCCTCACTAAGAATGGCTGGAAATCTGAAGAGAATTTTATCACAAGTACTTGTGGGAATATCTCTCTGGTTAGAGCTTGTCAATACACAGCTTGACTCCATGATTAGAAGTAACCTTCTCTTTCACCTTTTGAGCTGGAGGATGGGAAGATAGCTTGAGATTTGCCCCTCCTACCCCCTTTTCCCTGAGTCCATGTTGTGGGACTGGTAGAATATCTTCTGTACCTGGAGAGAGAGATACTCTTGGGTGCAGAGAACATTAAGAATATGGAAATACCTTTCAGAGTTTGGAACTGGTTATGTAGCATGGAGAGGGTATTGGAAGGGGCTCATAACAATATGCTGTGTCCGGTGCTGGAGAATTTGCCTAGCCGCCTTATGTTATGTTAGAGGCTCTTTGAAGCCATGCTTGAGTTATGACAGTGTTCTGTTTACAATATGGTTGGTTAGAAAAAAGGCGACAGTGTATGTTTTCCACTGTTTCTGTTCATCTTATGTAACTCACCAGTTTACGAGTTGGTAATGGTTTACTGCCCATGGAACGAATGTGAGATGTAATACTGTAATGCAAAATATGTACAAACGCAAGGCAGAGCTGGGATTGTTGTGGAAACTGCAGGTTTGTGTTCTGGTTTTGAGTGTTAGAGCGATGTTGGATTAATTTGCAAATTTGTGGTGGGCTTCTGAACCTATGTGTAAAGCTTTACAAACAGTTCTGATTTTTTTTTCTCCTTTTTTTTTATAGATTTAATAATGGAGTTACTGAAAGTGGCTCTGTCTTGTCATCTATCTGTTTTCTGAATATGTGCTGTGGGTTTGCAAAGGTTAGACGTCTTTCTACAGCCTCCTCTGTGACTAAACCGCCTCACTTCATTCTTACAACAGAATGGGTCTGGTACTGGAAAGATGAATATGGCCTGTGGCGGGAGTATGGAAAAAAAGTAAGTGTGGAGAAATGCGGAGACTCTCAACTCTGTGTTAAAAGTACAGAGCTACTGAAAAGGGCACAGTGTGTTTATCCTCCCCCTCTTTTATTACCGTCTCCCTCCCCCTCACTCGTACTGTGCAGATGGACTTTAGAGACCTAATGGGATCTTTTCCCTGTGAATTTGATTGGGGAGTGCTCACTAGTGAGTCACCAATATTATTGACAGATAATTCTTCAGTGAGTCATGTGAGATAGGATCACATTAATACGTTCTTTTCATTGTTCCTGACTACAACTTCCCTTTCTGAGCTTTGGTAAGGTCTAGTTGGTGGATGTGTGCTCTCAGTAGTTGTCACCGTTTCAGGCCGGGCCGGCGC